GTGGGGGCGACACCCCAGGGCAGGGCTCAGGCCTCCCCCTAGGTGCGCGCTGCTGGGAATGGCTCGAGTGGGCTCCCCAGGATGAAGGCCCAGTGAGGACCGGCCCAGGGGCAGGGTTGGGGGACTGGGTCCAGCCTGCCTGCCTGCAGGGACAGCAGGGCTCCTGGGGGGACCCAGTCAGAAAAGCCACGTGGCCAGCTCTGGCTCGGCTCAGTGGGTAGCGCCTCCGCCTGCGGACGGAAGGGTCCCAGGTTCATTTCCGGGTCAAGGGCACAGGCCTGGGTGGCAGGTTTGGCTCCCGGCCTTTCCCTCCCCCTCCCTCCCTCCCTCTCCCTAAAAATCAATGGAAAAATGTCCTCGGGTGAGGATTAACAAAGGAAACCCACTCTGGGGGCCGGGGGAGGGGAGGGCCGGAGGCCCGTGCTCCGTTTACGAAGTGTGGCTGAGCCCTGTTCCAGCTGGAAGGTGAGATGTTACGTGCGGAGATGTGGCCGGAAATTGGGTTCGGCGTCGTGGGTGGCTGGCGGGGGCGGTGGGAGACACGGTGCTGGGTTTGGGGGCTCTGCTGCGGTGTGGACCCCTCAACACTCAGCCCTGGCCTCTCTGATGATCTGTCAGCCGAGCCTCCCCCCAAGGTCTGGCGTTTCTGAGCACAGAGTTGGGTCCCACGCTGAGGCAGCGGCAGCGGCGCCCCGGGGAGCTGCCCTCACTTCCTCCTGCCCCCTCCGTGCCGGCTCCCCCAGGAGAGAGGTTCCCCCGAAAGCCGGGCGCCCGGCTGCCTGCAAAGCCTGGTAAACACCGGTGGGGCTCATGGCCGCCAGACTTGGGGTTTCTGGCCCCAGGGAGCCCCGGCAGGAAGCCAGCCCCAGGGCCCGGTCCTGCCACCCTGTGCCATGGGCGGCAGTCTTGACTCCGTGCCTCCCTCTGGGGCGAGGTGGTCCCCTTCTGGTCTGAAGGTGCAGTGAATGTCAGGTGACCCTGTGTGTGGCTGGCAAAGGCCGGGCAGCCCAGGCCAGGGTGGCAGGGCCGCCCCTCCCCAGCACCACCCCAGAGTGGCTTTGGCATTCCAAGCAGGCCACGCCCCCAGAGCCGGGTCACCTGCAAGTACAATGGGTCCAAGTCGCGGCCATGCTGACGGAAGGAGTGTGTGCCATCCCTGCCCAGATCCAGGCCCCGGCGACCTGCTGGCCCTCCAGACCCGGCCGAAGACACCTGCCTGGCTTCCCCGAGGCACGGTGCCCCCGAGGGCCTGGCCCACCAGGGCCGATGGTCCTCCCCGGTGACGGCCTGTGGAGACCCGGAAGTGAGCCCAGCACCTCCTTCACGGTGACACGTATGTGCTCACAAGTGTCGGCCCTTTTTTGTTTTTCTGAACCTGTGACTCGTCTATTCGTGTGTTTTGCTCATGTTTTCCCTCTAATGAGATGCTCTGAGCTGAATGGTGTCCTCCAAGCTCATTGCTGAAGTCCTAACCCCGGACCTCAGAAGGGGGCTGTAGTGGAGCTGGGATCTTTAAAGCAGTGATTAAGCCGAAATGGGGTCACGGTGGGTCCTGATCTTACAGGTCTGGGGTCCTTCTGCGAAGAGGAGACGAGGACACAGACACACACGGGGACGACCCTGTGGGGACACAGGATGGAGACGCAGCCACTCGCCCAGGAGAGGCCTCGGGAGCCAGCCCTGCGACACCGGGTCTCCCACCCCAGCCGCCAGGACCCGACGGTCAGTGTCTCTGGTTTAAGACGCCGCCCTGGCATTTGGCTGTGGCCGCCCTGGCAAACCTATCCGGGTGTCCGAGTTCCCTGTGCGTTTCCACGTGCATTCACTGTGTTCGTGATGTGACCCTCTGGTCGTATTTGCTCAGTTGGTCCTTTGCCTTAAAATTGTTCAAACCAGCTCTAGTGTTGTCCCCTGGCCGTACAGCCCAGGCGCACACACCTTTCCCCCACAGCCTGAGGGTGAGCACGTCCGTCCCTCACCCCTGAAGGGCCCCAGGGCCTCTGCCACCCCTTCTCCCTTCCCTCCCCACCCTTCCTCCCCCCATTCCCCAGCGCCCGTGACCTGGTCAGCCTGCACGCTATAGAGTTTTCCATAAATGGAAGTACAGTATATACGCTCTCTTGTTTGGCTGCTTTCCCCGGCATAGCTATTGTGGGACTCATTTGTGCCTCGCGTGCGTAGGGCCGCATTCCTCTGGCTGCCATGGTATGGACACACCACAGCTTGTTTATCCATTCCCTGTTGATGGACATTTGGGCTGTTTCCAGTTCTCGACGATGAAAAACAAAGCGGTATTTACATTCATGTGAAAGTCTTTACAAGGACAAACATTTCCTTTTCTCATGGGTAAATGCTTAGAAGGAGAATGACTTAGATCACATGGGAGGTTTATGTTTAACTGTTTTAAGAAAAAGAGACATTGCCAACTGATTCGTTTCACATTTCTGCTCGCGAGGTGGGGCCCCCCACCCCCCGCGGACCCTGGTGTGCTGGGCTTGCAAGCCCTGGGGTCCTGAGAGCAGGGCGTCCGATGACCCAGGGCCCCCCACCCTGCAGTTTTCACATGGCCACTTGCCGTTCCTTTATCTTGTTAATGAGGTATCACTTCTACTCTTTGGCCCATTTTTTAAAAAACCCGGTTGTTTGTTTTCTCATTATTAAGTGTCTGCGCTTTTTGGTACAATTCTTGTTCGTTTCCCCCTTTTGAGAGGACTTTATATCTTCTGGGTCAGGCCTTGGTGAAATGTTTGCTTGGCAAAGATTTCCTTCCACCCAGTGCCTTAGATTTCCATTCTCTTGATGAAATTCTCTTAGATTTCCACTCTCTTAGATTTTCATTGAAAGAGCAAGTGATAAACATGTTTGAGGCCTCGTAACGCACCAGCTTGCTTTTCCGGGGGGCTGTGCTTTCGGCCTGGCGTCTGGGTGATCTTGGCCCGGCACGTGCTCCAAGGCGGTCTCCCGCG